CAACACCACCACCACCTGTAATCGAAGAATCGACAGAAACATTAGATGTTAACGAACCAATTAATATTGATAATCATGAAAAAAATAATTCAGTTGTTGATCGTGCTTATCATTTTGTTAGAAATATGTTTCAACTATCTGATGATATACTCGAAGATAATTATACACAGGAAGATGATTCAATTCTTTCTTCAACAAATGATGAACAACAACATCATCAATCACGAAAATTACTCTCTGTTAATGATGCAACATTATTTGTTAATTCTAATGGTATAAATGATTATAATTTTAATCTTTATTTAAATGAATTAAATGATAAAGAATCTATTGTATCATTCAATGATTTATCATTGTTATCAATGAGTATATCAAAACGAAAATTATTATCTGTTAAAAAATCTAAACGTACAACACCACCAGAAACAACTGATATAAAAACTAAAAAACCACATTCTATTATAAATAAACCAAAAGTTGGTTGGGCTTATCGTTATCGTATATCACGTTATTTAGCTGATCAACAAATGAAACGTACTGGTCATAGTAAAAAAACCGATGGAGGAGGAAAACTTCATACACAATCAATTAATAAAAAGAAGACAAGTTCTTCATCAACTCATACAAAACCTTCTAAACGTAAACTTCTTGAATTCGATATTGATGATGTATCAAATTGGAATGATAATAATAATCAGAATGATATGTAAGTTATATTTATAATTTAAATTCTTTTTCCTTTTAACGAAAAAAATATTAAGATATAAATCGACATGAATTAAATTAATATCAATATGTAAACTATGAAATCTATGTATACTATACATGACTATATTTTTACAGTTTACATCAGTTATTGTAATAACTGTAGATGACGTTCGTTTGGGAAAACATTAAGTAGATGATGCTTTTGTTTTTTATCTTCGTAAATCATTATATATGTCTCGGCGTACGACTGTCCTTTTTTTACTGACACATTATATGGCATTTACAATAGTAATTTTTTCTAGAAATAATCCCATAGCTACAGGCCTAATATTCTAGGCTTTTATTCTTAATGTCAAGTCAACTGTATATTGACAAGATCATGTGTTGATTCAAGAAACGTTATTTTTCTTTTTGATTATTCTCATAGATAATTAGATTATGATAATAATCAAAATTAATTTTCTATTGATGAGTTATTAAATCGTCTAATATATTTTGATATGTACAAAAAAAACGAATTAAACTAATTTTCTATTAGATTATTTTATTGATACACAATAGTTTCATTTATGGAAATTTTATAACTTATTTTTTTCTTATTTTTGATTAATTATGAAAGTTCTATAAATCATAAATCGCCCAAGAGAATATCAACTTGATAATTGATAATATACCAAGAAAAGTTTTAGATTAGATCTGTTAAGTGTCAATATACTTATCGTTTAGTAAATGTCATCAGATAAAAGTCGAGGTAGACTCAGTGCAATATAGTGTTATTCTAGGCACAAAGTTGATAAGAAAAACAAATATCAACTTAAAGAAAATTACGATTTTCTCTAGTAGAATAAATTTTTCATATAAAAAAAAAATTTAGATTATTGTTTTGAAAACTATGATAGATATAGATAAGTTTTCATTTTGGTATAAAATTAGTTGAGAAATAAACTTTTATAGAATGACACGTATTAGAAACCATGAAACAAGAAAGGATTAAATTATCATGTATTTTTTAGTTCTAATCAAGATATTGTCAATTCTGTATCTATTACAGAAGAATTTGTTCCTAAACGTCAATTATTGGCTTCAAAAAAAATTGTTAATAATAAAGAAGACACTGATGATGATGATGATGATAATGACGACGATATTGATACAGTAAATAAACGTCGTCGAATGAAATCTTATGAACAAATAACTGATCCAGTCGAAATTGTTCGTTCATATGATCGTGGTTTATTTAAACCTCGTGTTGGTTGGCAATTTCGTTATCGTGTATCACGTTATATTGATGCTTTACGTGAAAATATTCGTGAAGATCAAGCACGTTTAAAATTAGGCTTAGAAGCAATTAAACGTAAAACACCACAAGAATTAAGTGGTAGACGTAAACGTGTTCTAGATAAACCATTTGTATCTGAACAACAAGAAACACCACCTCCTGTCGAAGTAAAAAATAAAAAAATAAAAAAGATGATTTGTTTTTTCTGATTTTTCTTTTCTATAGGAAAATAAACCTAATGTTGGTTGGCGTTATCGATATCGTATAAGTAAAATGCTTGAAGCTAAAAAACGTGGTGATTACGTCGATGATGAAGAAGAAAAACGTAAAACACGTCTTGAACAGAAACGTAAACAACAAGGTCTTGTTAAACCTACGGATGAAGATGATGAATGCATTGAATGGGAATATGATAGTCTTGATCCAGAATTACGTAAAATAAAGGAAGAAGGTCGACGTGTTGGATGGGCATATCGATATCGTATTCGTCGTAAACTTGATGAATTAAAAAAACAACAAGCAGGTAAAGTTCAAAGAGAAAATAAAAATTTTTTTCTATTATTTTTATTTTTGAATAAAAATAGAAACTGGAATTCCATTTCATTTGGAAACACTTTCTACTAAACAAGAGAAAAAAACAATAACAACGCCAACAAGTTCAAAAGATGTATCGGGTGAAACTCCAGTTGAAATTCCTAAAAAACATGTTGGATGGCAATATCGTTATCGTGTTTCGAAGATGCAAGAAGCACAAAAATATGAAGCAGCTGAAGCTGTAAAAAAACCACCAAAGAAAACAGATGATCATATACCAATACATGAAAGACTTGATCCTGCATTAGCACGATTAACACCAGAAGAACGAATTGTTGGATGGAAATATCGGTTTGTTCAAAACTTTTTGTTTTTTTTTCTATTTTCAAAATTTCATTTTTTCTTTTTTTTTTTTTTTTTTTTTTATTAGTTATCGTATTCGACGTAAACTTGATGCAATAAAAAATGCTACTCGTGAAAGTTCAGCTGGTAAACGTAGTAAAAAAACTAAACAATTATCGGAATCAAAAAAATCATCAAAAGCTAAAGAAAAAGAACAAATTATTAAAAAAGTTGAAGAATCTATTGAAAAAATTCTTAATATTGACGATATTGATGAAACACCATTTATGGAATATTTTCGTCGTGCATCAAGTTATATTTTATTTGGTCTTCTACCAACTGGACGAAAATCTATATGTCTTTTACCATTACCTTTTACATTTTCATTTTGTAATGATGATGATAATGAAGATATTAAAGGTAAACCAATAACAACAACAACAACAACAACAAC